GTGTCTATATTCCCAACCACTTGGGAGGCTGAGGCAAGAGAATCACTTAAGCCCAAGAGTTTTGAGGTTGCTGTGAGCTGTGACGCCACAGCACTCTACCAAAGGTGACATAGTGAGACACTGTCTTAAAAAGAAAAGGAAAAAAGAGAAATAAATAGCAGAAAATATTAACAAATGGAAGAACATACCATGCTCATGGCTAGAGAGAATCAATATTGTAAAAATGCCTATGTTAACCTAAAGCAATCTACAGATTCAATGCCATCCCCATATCATCATACTTTCAAGATTTGGATAAAATAAGTCTCCCTTTTTTTATGGAACCAGAAGAAATCCTGTATAACCAAGGCAGTTCTTAGTAATAAAAACAAAGCCAGGTGTATCACCCTACCAGAATTTTAGCTATACTATAGCAAGATATTGGCACAAAAATAGAAAAATTGACGTTTGGAAATGAATTGGAAACCATAAGGTGAAACTAGTATCTTACAACCACCTGATCTTTAACAAACCAAACAAGAACATGCACTGGGGAAAAGAATCTCTGTTCAATAAAGGGTGTTAGGAGAACCGGATATTCACATGTAAAAGACTAAAATTGGATCTACACCTTCCACCACTTCCAAATATTGATTCAAGATGGATAAAAGATTTTAATCTAAGACATGAAATAATAAAAATTCTTGAAGAAAGTGTGGGGAAAACACTTATAGATATTGACCTGGCGAAAAATTTTATGAAGATTGCCTTGGCAATTGCAACAGCAACAAAAATTAGCAAATGGGACTTAAGTAAATTGAAAGTCTGTACAGCCAAGGAAACAACAACCAAAGCAAACTGACAAACTTCAGAATGGGAAAAGATTTGCATGTTATGAATCGGTCAAAATCTACAGAGAACTCAAGTTAATCAACAAAAAGACTCAACAATCCCTTATGTCACTGGGCAATAGAGACGAACAGAACCTCTAAAGAAGGCAGACAGGTGGCTAACAAACATATGACTAAATGCTTATCATCCCTAATCATCAGAGAACTGCAAATCAAAATTACCCTGAGATATCACCTAATGCCAGTGAGAATGGCCCACATCACAAAGTCTCAAAGTTGCAGGTGCTGGCTTGGATGTGGAAAGAAGGGAACACTTTTACACTGCGGGTGGGACTGCAAACTAATACAACCTTTTTGGAAGGAAGTATGGAGAATCCTCAAAGAACTGAAATTAGACCTCCCATTATTGGGCATCTACCCAGAAGAAAAAAACCATTTTATCATAAGGATATTGCACTAGACTGTTTATCGCAGCTGTTTACAATCACCAAAATATGGAAATTGCCTAAATGCCCACCAACCCAGGAATGGATTAACAAGCTATGGTATATGCATGCCTCAGCCACTAAAAAAGATGGAAACTTTACATCTTTCATATTAACCTGGATGGAGGTGAAACACATTCTTCTTAGTAAAGCATCACAAGAATAGAGAAGCAAGAATCCAAAGTACTCAATTCTAATATGAAGGCAGTAGAGGAGCTAATATGGGGCAGGGTAGGGAAATGAGCAAGTGGGAGAAAGAAGGGAGGAGGGAAGAGGATGGGGGGTAATGGGGTATGGCATACCTCTTGGGGATGGGACACAATTATAAGAGGGACTGTATCTAACAAATCTAATCAGTGTAACCTAATTTTTTGTGCCCTCAATGAATCTCAAACAATAGTAAATAAATAAATAAATAAAAACTCATAACTTATATGAATTTGATTCTGTGAATTTGATTTGTACAATTATATGTCTGGTAAATGCTTGAGTTTAAATGAGATTATTCATATTTTTGTAACCTCTGCCATTATTTCTTTTTCATTCATAATTAGTTAGAAGAAGCGAAGCCTCAAAGAGGTTTGAATCCAGCAGTGGTCTCCCAGGGGTAGATGAAACCCAAGGTCAAGGCCAGTCACAGAGACCCAGGTATGCCACGTGAAAAACAGTAGTAATGTGCTTTCAATGATAGGTACTTATTTGTTTGTTAGAGTCAAGTAGTTTTTTTTTCATTCTCCTCTTTTTTATTCCTTTCATTTTCTTTTTTTCATTTTCTTTTTCTCTTCCTTTCCCCTAGCTCCCCTTTTCTCTAAGTTCTCAAATTCATCCAGTTACATGAAAGACAAGGTGAAAATAAGAATTGGCTCTGGTTGTTTGTAGTTTGTGCTTGATTTTTAAATTGTCAGTATGAATATAAAATAGTAGGAAAGTTACAGCATGACATTAAAAATCCATGAGAAGATAGTAAACTATGATTTCTAAGAGAATACTACCTCTTTTGAAAGGTTGAAACAGGCTTAGCCAGCAGGCTTTCAGTATTTATTTGTTGAATGAACAATGAGTAGATTACTACTGAGTAACCTATTATGTAAAATGTTAATTATTCACTAAATCTTTTCTGGCTTAAAAGAGGTTATTTATTACTTTTTTTATAGCCCAACTTGTGTTCATTTTCATAGCGAAAAACTTAGCAAATTTCTTATAAAATGTTAATGTTATTCTTGGACTAGACTTAAAGTAGTAGTATTATAGTTGTGTATTGATGTACTTTGCTTAAACTGAAAGGTGTCAAGTCAGTAGTGATATGTACCCTTGTGTATGCACAGGTCTCTCACCCGAACAAGAGATGTTATTGTTCATGCTAAGCATTATTTCAAATTTGTAATATGATATGAGAGAGCCAGAGGTTACTTCAGAATTTACTCCCAAAGTATGGGTGTCCTTTGAAGTTCTATATTTCAGTGTATTTAATTCAAGTGCCACCAAATAAAAAAAGAATCATTTAGAAATTAACAAGAACTTGCCCCTTAGCTAATTAATTCTGCCAGACACCATTAACAGATCAAGTAAGCCTAGCCATGTGATTAAAACAGACAATTTATTCATGGTTTAGAGTCCAAGTAATTAAATACTTTACGTTAAAATTATTCTTTCATTAGTGGTTAAAGTTTTATTAAATTTATTTCTTTTATTTTGGTTTTCTTTTACCTTTTAAAATAGTTGACAGTGTTATATTTTCTTTGACGAAAGCTCCTTTGAGTATTCACTTACCTAAAACAATGTTACATTTGCATAACAGCATTTTATATTACCATTTCCTTGTGATGACCCCATATTGATATTTTGATAATTTTGAACACAGAGGCAAGGGACAAAGACAGATTTATGCTTGATATTACACTTTTTTTTTTTTTTAGATAAGGTCTTACTCTGTTGTCTAATCTAGAGTACAATGGGATCATCATAGCTCACTGCAATTTTAAACTCTTGTGCTCAAGCAATTCTCCTGCCTCAGCCTCTAGAGTAGCTAGGACCACAGGCACATGCCATTACACATGCTAATTTTTTCTTTTTTAGTTTTTTGTGTAGACAAGATCTCACTATGTTGCTCAGGTTGGTCTCAGGTAACTGGCCTCAAGCAATCCTCCCACCTTGCCCTCAAGTAGTTCTTCTACCTTGGCCTCCCAAATTGCTAGAACTATGGGTGTAACCCACCATGCCTGGCCTCCACAGTGTGCTTTTTGAAATGCACTAATCTCAGTGTTGAATTGAGGGAGAATTTTTTTTAGAAGTCACTCTTTTCATTGAATCTAATTTGGAGGAAATTCATGAGTCCTTAATATTATACACTTAATAACTGAAAGCTCCTGGTTTCAATAGAATCAATAGAAATAGAGATAACAACTGGAAAAATTATAAGGATTATGTGTTAACAATTGATTTACAGGCAATTCAATATTAAGTTTGTTATGTAAAGACATATCCATTCCAACAAAATTAAATCACTTTTTGAGCCTTATTTTAATTTTCATAATAAGGAACCCCAAAGGGTCAAGATTATGAAAGAATCTTAATTTTCACTATTCCCAGATTTTATTTAAGGAAATATTAACATTAAGACCAAGTTTGTCAAATCTGTGTTTTAGGGATAAACTATCTTTTGTTTTATACTTTGTAGGAGAAAAAACCCTATATGGTGTTCATAGTGTCTGAGTTATATATAAGTATAGGTAAAAGACAAATATATTTCAAGAAGTAGATTGTTAGGTGCATGTATGTGTTGTCCAATGTAAGTTGTTAAACTGTACTTCTTTTAACTACTTTAATCTTTTTTCTGCCCACAGAAATGAACATTAACTAAAATATTGTCTAAATTCCTTACTCAGGTGCAGAATTTTCTGAATGTGTACAAAGATTTCTGATAATATCTTTAACATGCTGGTACATAATCAGGAGGTCCTGTTTTGTTCTTTAGGTCACATATTTGTAAGATCTATAAATACTTTGGTATTTGTACATGTCTCATGCTTCTTTATAAAAATTTCCATTCCCTTTAGCTAGAATGAAATGGCAAAACAGACCCAGAGGGTGCTATTGATTTGTATCATAGGGGTGGGGGAACCTTAACAGGAAATTATGTCAGATGCAGCAGAATGAGTAATTTTTGTATTATGGGCTATCAAAAGTGTCTTTCAGTGACCAAAGAGGATAGTCAAAGCTGTTTTCAAAGAGGATCTCTAAGCCTTTTTATGTGTTCGCTTTTGAAGTACAATTTATACATAGCACATTCCCACTGCTTCTGTGCCTCTCTGCTTATTGAAGAAAACTTTTTTTCCTGACTCCAGAGTCAGAGTTGGTTTTGTTTCTTGTTTTTTGTCTCTCAAACTTTTCAGAACTTATAGTAACATCTACCAGATACTGTGTTGGGAATAGTAAAATAATTTGAGCAAGAAGGCTAATATACTTGGTATAAACAACAGTTTTAAGTTTAATTGTATGGATTGAAGCTCTTATCCTTAAATCTCCCCCCCTCTTATGTAACACATGAGCCATAAAATTATATTCCATTATTTACTGCACAAGTAATTATTGAGTTACTGAGTACCTCCTATGTGTTAGGGTAATTTAGGGACTGGAGATAAAGTTGTGAATGACACAATCCCTTGGAGGATTTTCTAGAGATGAAATAGCTAATTAACCATTAAAAAGTAAGTAAGGCAGACAGCACCTGTGGCTCAGTGAGTAGGGCGCCATCCCCATATACTGGAGGTGGCAGGTTCAAACCCAGCCCCGGCCAAAAACTGCACACAAAAAAGTAAGGCACATAGTGATGGTGCTTTGAAGAAAAATGAAGTTATCTAAGGGGATATGGAGTGCAGGGATTTGATGTCCAGATTCTGTTTTATATAGGTAGCATGATCAGAGATAGTATCTCTTAAGAGATGACCTTGAACAGAAAGCTGATTGGAATAAGGAAGTTATCCATGCAGATACCACATATCAGCAGGACGGGTATTCAGACAAAAAGAATAATAAGGCTGGGTGCGGCAGCTCATGCCTTGTAATCCCAGCACTTTGGGAGGGAGGTCAAGGTGGGTAGATTGCCCAAACTTATGAGTTCGAGACCAGCCTGAGCTAGAGTTAGACCCTGTCTCTAAAAATAGCTAGGCATTGTGGCAGGCACCTATAGTCCCAGCTACTTGGGAAGCTGAAACAGGAGAATCACTTGAGCTCAAGAGTCTGAGGTTGCTGTGAGCTATGACACCATGGCTCTTTACTGGGGGTGACAAAGTGAGACTCTATCTCAAAAAATAAATAAAAGGCTTGGCGCCTATGCTCAGTGGTTAGAGCACCAGCCACATATACTGGGGCTGGCGGGTTCGAACATGGCCCTGGCCTGCTAAACAACAATGACAACTACAACAAAAAAAATAGCCAGGCATTGTGATGGGTGCCTATAGTCTCAGCTACTTGGGAGGTTGAGGCAAGAGAATTACTTAAGCCTAAGAGTTTGAGGTTGATGTGAGCTGTGATGTCACAGCGCTTTACTGAGGACAGCATAGTAAGACTCTGTCTCCAAAAAAAAAAAAAAAAAGGAACATGTAGAAAGGCCCTAAGATATAGGAGATGTGTTGTGTATTAGAGGAGTAGTAAGAAAGGCAGTGTGGCTACAAGAGAATGAGTGAAGGACAGAGTGGATGGTAACCAAGTAGCTAGGACCCAAATCATGTCAGGCCACAGAAACTGAGGTGAGCCCTTGAGATACTAGTCTAAGTGTAATGGGAAACCATTGGATTATTGAAAGTGTAGAGAGCCATGATCCAATTTACATTATGATGGGATTACTCTGATCTGTTCGGCAAAGAACAGTTTGTAGGAGTAAAAGACCAGTAAGAAGATAGTCACATAAATCCCTTTGAGAGCCAAGCATAGACTTTAGTGATGAAGAAGGGTCAGATATGGAGATTATGCCTTTGAAATTTACTGCTCAATTGACTGAAGGATTTGCAAGAAAGAAGAATCAAGAATGACTCTAAATTGTGACCTACGCAGCCAGAAAATGATCGAGACGAGTGGATGTGGGGGGTGGGGAAGAAGTATCAAGAATTAGGATTTAGAAATGTTAGGCTAAAAATGCACATCAACATACAAATAGAACCCTCCTTGGGTGGCGCTTGTGACTCAGTGGGTAGGGCTCCAGTCCCATATACTAAGGGTGGCAGGTTCAGACTTGGCCCCAGCCAAACTGTAACAAGAAAATAGCCGGGCATTGTGGCAGGTGCCTGTAGTCCTAGCTACTTGGGAGGCTGAGGCAAGAGAATCGTCTAAGCCCAGGAGTTGGAGGTTGCTGTGAGCTGTGACACCACAGTGCCCTACTGAGGGTAATAAAGTGAGACTCTGTCTCTACAAAAAGAAAAATCCAAGTAGAACCCTCCCCTAGGCAGGGGAATAGAATTAGATTCCGGGGAGAGATTGGAGTTGCCAACAAACATATTAAAGTTGAGGAAATATATAAGTAAGTAAGACCATGTGACCAGATAATATAAATAAAGAGTGTGAATAGAGATTAGAAAAATCAAAAGCATTGCCCAACAATAGAGATGAGATTAGAAATAAAGGGGAATCTAGCAAAAGGAACTACAAAGAAAGAATTAGTGACGTAGAAGGAAAATGAGGGGAGCATGGTTTCCCAGAAGTCAAATATTTCAAGAAGGAGAAGGGTTGAGCAAAATGTCATGTGATGCTTAGAGGTCAAATAAACTGAAATTTGAAAGTTACCTTTTGGTGCAAGTAACATGGAGGTGAGTCGTCTTTATGGCTCATTTTGGTGGGATAGTGGAGCTAGAATTTGATGGGTCTAAGTCCAGGAGAGTGTGGGAGATGAAGTGAAGATAAAGTTTAAATGACAATTTTGAAGATATTTACTCTAAAGGATGGCACAAAAATGGGGTGGGATCTAAAGTGGGATGTGGAGAGATTTTTTTATTCTAAGTAGGAAAGTACAGCATGAGTATACGCTAACGAGAATAACCTATTGTATAAGATTATTGATGATAATTGTAAGAGCAAAGTCTTTGAGTGGGAAGAGGAGTGGAATCCCATGTACAGTGGAGGTTTTGGTCCTATATAAGAGTGTAGGAGATTTATCCATATGGTATCCATTGAGAAGTTTTGTGACGGAAGGATGAAGAGATTATTTCACCAACAAAAGTGAGGAAAATCATCAATTAAGAGAGGAAGAACAAAGTATTGAAGCTTAGAGAGAAGGAAGAAGATGTAAAGTAGTTCTCCAAGACAGTGAGTCACCAGACAGTTTTGAGCGCCAACTGAGATCATCAGCATGGTTCTGCAGTTTCTTGAGAGATAGCAATCTCAAATTCTTGGGCTCAAAAGATTTTCTTGCTTATCTTCCTGAGTAGCTGGGACTAAAGTGTGTACCACCATACCTAGATAATTTTTCTATTTTTACAGAGACAGGGTCTCACTCTTTCTCAGGTTGGTCTTGAACTCCTGGCTTTAAGCAATCATCCTGCCTCAGCCTCTCAGACTGTTAAGATTATATGCATGAGCCACTGTCCTGGCCCAAAATTCTTTTATTTTTATTTTATTTTATTTTATTTTTATTTTTTTGCAGTTTTGGGCCAGGGCCAGGTTTGAATCTGCCACCTCTGGCATATGGGGCCAACACCCTACTTCTCTGAGCCACAGGCTCCGCCCACCAAAATTCTTTTTTTTTTTTAAATTAATGGGGAATCATTAAGGGTACAAAAAACCAGGTTACATTGCTTGTATTTGTTAGGTAAAGTTCCTCTCATAATTGTGTCCTGCCCCCAAGAGGTGTATCACACACTGCAACCCCCCACCCCTCCGTCCTTCCCTCTGTCCATTCCTCCATTCCCCACCCCCGACTATGTACTAGCATTGATTGTCCTCATATCAGAATTGAGTACATATGGACTTTTGTTTTCCATTCTTGTGATGCTTTACTAAGAAGAATGTGTTTCAACTCCATCTAGGTTAATATAAAAGATGTAAAGTCACCATTTTTTTTAGTGGCTGAATAGTATTCCATGGTATACATATACCACAGCTTGTTAATCCATTCCTATGCTGGTGGGCATTTAGGTTGTTTCCATAATTTGGAGATTATAAATTGAGCTACAGTAAACAGTCTAGCACAAACGTCCTTAAGATAAAATGATTTTTTTTCTTCTGGGTAGATGCCCAGTAATGGGATTGCAGGAACTAATTTGAGTTCTTTGCAGATTCTCCATACTTCCTTCCAAAAGGGTTGTATTAGTTTGCAGTCCTACCAACAGTGTAAAAGTGTTCCCTTCTCTCCACATCCATGACAGCATCTGCAGCTTTGAGACTTTGTGATGTGTAGCCCAAAATTCTTGATAGAGTCAATGAATTATCTCAAAAAGGGTACTAGAGGGAATAAGCTAGAAAAAAATAAGAATATGTAGAGTATGGGAAGATAGAAATAAGAAATTATGGAGGTGGAACACTTATTGTTAATAGGCAGCATGACCATGGAAGTAGGTCTTGGGCAGAGGCAAGGAGACCAGAGTGCTAGAAGATTCCTCAATCTATATATCACCACCACCACAAATGGTGGCAGGATTAGTGGTGCTGACTATGTCAGGCACTTAGGTCTTTAATTAATAAGGAGGAATGACCAAAAGGACAATAAATGTCTAGAACAAAGCAGAACAGTAAATGTTATGATTTCATGTCATGTATTTGAAAAGAGTTGTGAGTTATTGGAAAAGGGTCAACAGTGGTCTGAAAGCTGAAATAAGAATTAAAATTAGTCTCTTCCTGCCTCTAAGGCCAAATGGTATAGGTCTATAAGAATAAAACTGCCCCTATCTGAAAAAAACTACAAGGGAAACAATCTTTAGAGAATGATGGAAGGTTCAGAGAAGTGGACTATGCACCAAAAATGGGACAATATTATAGTAATACGTTAAAGTACAACTGAATGTTATCATGTGCTATGATCTATTTCTTCCCTCAGAACATTTCTGACCCAGTAATATGGGATTTTTGCTCATATCAACAACCAATTCTCCCCACTCTTTGGACACTAGCTCAGTGTCCTACAATTTAATTCAATTCTAACAACCTAGAGTTAGCATCAGAACTCACAAGGTAAGGGTTCAGTCCAACAAGACTCACCCCATTTCAGATGCCAGTTACAAATTATGAGTTCAGCAGTTCCTAAAACCCCTTCCTTAGATTTGATAATATGGCAAAATGCCTCACAAAATTCAGAAAGCACTTCACTTACATTTACTGATTTATTATAAAGAATAGTATGAAAGGTACAGATGAACAGCCAGATGAGGAGGTGGTATATATAGGGCAAGGTCTGGAAAGGTCCAGAGTATAGGAGCTTCTGTCCTGTGGAGTACATCATTCTTTTTTTTTTGACCAAATCTCACTCTGTTGCCCTGGGTAAAGTGATGGGGTGTCATAGCTCACAGCAACCTTAAATTCCTAGGCTTAAGCAATCCTCTTGCCTCAGCCTCTTGAGTAGCTGGGACTACAGGCACCTGCTATGATGCCTGCTAGTTTTTCTATTGCCTAGTTCATTTTTAGTAGAGATACGGTCTCACTCTTGCTCAGGCTGATCTTGAACTCCCAAGCTCAAGCGATCTACCCTCCTCAACCTCCCAGAAGTCTAAGATTATAGGCATGAGCCACCATACCTGGCCAGAGAATGTCATTCTTCTGGCATGTGGATGTATTTGCTAACCCAGAAGCTCTCTGAGCCTTGTCATTTGGGAGCTTTTATGGAGGTTCCACTACTTGGGCACAATCATTTATTATTAACTTATTCTTCCAGAGATTGGGGGGCAATAAGGTTGAAAATTATAGCCTTCTAATCAAGGCTTGGTCTTTCTGGTGACCCCATCTGAAGCTATCTAGAATTCCACCAGGAGTTTCCTCATTAGGATTAAAGAGGCTCCTATCACTAAAGAAATTCCAAGAGTTTTAGGAGCAATATGTCAGGAACCAGGGTTAAACACCAGATATCAGAGCAAAGATTCTCTTATCATCCCTGTCACTCAGGAAATTACAGAGGTTTTAGAATTTCTTCATCAGAAAGCAGAAACAAATATTAAATATATGTATTATTATGCCAAACTGTGTAATGCAAAGATTCTTCTTAAATGAAAAGATAAAATTTGTTTAAATTCTTGCTACCTTACTTAACATGTAATTTTCTTGTTTAGCCTTAAAACAATTTTTCTTCCCAATCCTTATTCTTCTCCTCTTTTCTGTATAGCAGACAATATGAAACACCCCTTGAAGGTACCTTGATTAATCAAGAGGTCATGCTAAAACGTCAAGAAGAAGAGATGATACAACTGCAAGCCAGAATGGCCCTGAGACAGTCTCGGTTGAGCCTTTATCCAGGAGACACGATCAAAGCTTCCATGCTTGACATCACCAGGGATCCCTTAAGAGAAATTGCCCTAGAAACAGCCATGACCCAAAGAAAACTGAGAGTAAGCTGATTCTCAAGTTACTACATCTAAACTTGCTCTCACAGGGAACTGTTGGGCAAAGTACTTTAAAAATAAAGTTCCTATTGGTATGTTAAGGTTGCCTGTAGATGAAATTGAAACACCTATTAGTTTCCATTGGGATTGATTAATTATCTTGTTGGTTGATGTTAAAATAAGTATTCAGCTGTTTTTATTATTTTGTTTTAGAAATAACTTAGATGGATTTAGAGTTGCAGGGATGTCCAGCTTTTTTTCTTTTCTGCTGTACATGGGAAGAATAAAAATTGTCTTCAGCCAGGTGGTAAATATACAAACACAAACAAACAAACAAAAAAAATCCATGCATACTTTCTGTGATATCTGACACCACAGATAAGCAAAAAAAAAAAAAAAAAATTTGCGCTAAGTCAGCAGGTTGGACACCCCTGCTTAGAGTATCTGAACTGTATACTTTAAAAGTATAATCATGATCATTAAAATAAATTGACCTTATTCAGCATTATAGGGGATTTTTTTTTAATTAAGAAATTTATTATCTCACAAACTGAGAAGATCAGAGATGGAAATTTCAAGGTTGGTTCAGGAGCTCAAGAATCATTATTATCAAGTACTTTTCATCTTGCTGCTCTACTCTTCTCAAAATGTTAGCAATACTTTGTTATAGTGAAAAAAGAAATGACATTAACTCCAAGCATATCCTCATGTTACCATGTCCAAAGATAGGAAGGAACATGTCTATATCTTAATATCTTGTGGGAGGATTTTTTATGTTTATTCTTCTAGTTGGGATATTTTTCTTTCAACATAGGACCCTAAATATATTTATGTATTATAAATATATTATTTATATATTATAAAATATATTATATGTTATATAATATGTATTTTATATTTTATAATATATTTACATATAATATATTTATAATACATTTTGTTATTTATATTTATAAATATATATTATATATAAGCTCAAAATGAATAGTCTTCTTTTCTCACATAAAATATATTGAATATTTTTTAATTTATGTAATATTATTAGCACTATAAAGTTCTTTATTATGTGACTTTACTTTGTACTATATTCTCTCTCATCAGTTTCTAATAATTGGACATTTAAAATGTTGCTAATTTGTTGTTGGTGCTATTGAAAGCAATGCTCTGATGAGCATCTCTATACCCAAATCTTTGCAGATAAATTCCTTTAAGTAGAATAGCCAAGTCAAAGGCAGACACTTTTTAAGACATTTGATATATACTGTCAAATTGTCCTTCCAGAAGTTTGTAAAAATTTAATCTTCCTATAATATCATGGCTGTTTTACCATATTTATATCTACCTTAAATATTATCATTCAGTTTATCATTACCAATTTGGTAGGTGAGGCAATATCTCATTTGTAATGTTACTTTAAAAATAATTATTCAAAAGCAATATAAATATTATTAAGTTGTAAACTCTAGAATGTATTTTTTCTTCTTAGTTCTATGCTGAGAAAGTATATTGCCCTATTCTGTTTCAATTTTTTTTTTATTGCTTTAAAGAATTATCTGGAAAGCACATTTGTATGCCCTGAAATTGATAGAATTCAAATTTCCTTCATAGTATTCTAAGGAGAAAAAAAAACAGTATTGGGTGGTGAAAACTGCATTGAACTACAAATTAGAAGACTTGTATTTTCCTTAAGATGTTGTTATGTAACTTAATGTAAATTTTTAAACTTCTGTCTCATTGTGTTAATTTTTAACTGTGAGATTGGGTTGTAATTTATAAGACACTGTCTAATTTTAAGGTTACTGGATTCTAATAAAATATAATTATAAACATAAAAGGAAGAAATTAAATCAGGCTTCATCAATTTATTATTATACCAATATGTATGTCAGAATGAAGCAATAGGTAGGATGTCATACAATACAGCGTGGGCTTAAAATATAATACTTCAGTGAACAGCGTAAAGGACATGTGGATGTATTTGCTAACCTAGAACTTTAGTTCATTGCAATTTGTAAATTATAGATTGTACCTTTACAGTATGCCACTATTCATGTGTCATCGCACTAAAAACCTGTGTTTCCTTTTTAGACATTCAATTTCTGGCTATTTCAAAGCAAACATTTCTTTACCAGAGACATGCCAAAATTATCCATGATTAGATAATTTAGACTACTGGTCATTAAAGGACCACATAGTGTTCTTTTCTGAAAAGAGCAGGTGATTACATTTTTGAGGCTCGAAAACAGTACTAGTGTTTGGGGGAACAGTTTCACAGTTGAATTAATATTCTTTCCCAAAACCTAACCATTTTTAGTGCCCCCCCCACTTCTTTTTGATATATGCACATTTTAATTTGTTCATACCCTATTGCCCTAATTGATCTGCATTAGATTTTGGGCTTCCCATAGTATTTTTTCTACTTTGTTTCTATTCTTGTTTAAAATGTGTCTTTTTGGTTCATTGAATATTAACAAACCCTCAACAGTAAACTTTTACTTAACTGGAACCTGTCACATGTTCCACACTCAATTAATTGAATAGAATTCCCACACCAAGCAATTAAATGAGCTGTACAGACAAATGCAAAGAAGAAACCAGTAAAAACAAAACTTCATTAGTTCAAACACATGCATGTACACATCACCTGCCTTTAGCCTCAACATCAGTCTTGATTTCACTTTCCCTTTTGTCCATTTGCACATAATCTTTCAGTCTTTTCTCAAGTGTGGTACCACTCAGAATTTTGTATTAAATTTATCTCCTAAACTAGTTCCTTCCTCTTGGACAAAACCCTTGAATATACAAAAGGAGAGGGAAAAGGATAGATTGAGAAACAGTAAATGCAGAGTGTGGACTCCGTTTCCCTATCCCTCGGGTCCCTCCATTCCCTGAGATATTTTCTTGGTAGCTTTGATAGGGGTCAGAGACTATGTGATACACAAATACTATCCCTAATTATCATTATTTAAAACAGAAAGTGCAGTGTCACAGAGCTCTAAGAAAATCATTGCAGATGGATATAAATTTTTCTATAGTCACAAAGTAGATATCCTTTGACTATAACCTGTTTTAGATTGAATATCATTGTCTAAAATAATAAGATTCTGTTCACTATATGCATTTGCAATATTAAACCTAATCCTTATGAGCTTGATAATTCTATATTACATCAATAAAACTACTATTTTTTTTTTCTGAGAGTCTAAATCTGTCTGAAGGCCAAATAATGAAAATTCTATAAAATGGTAGAAAGTTAGGCCTTCTATTTAACATCACTGGTTAGAAAACGTAGACAAGGAAAAACTTCCGTTCAAACTTAGCATAAGCAGCTATCATTTAATAATAAAAAAAGAAAAAAAAAGAATTAGGAACACTTACATCACACTGGTTAATATATACCTCATCTCGTTTACTTAGTTATTGTGTTAAGACATTTATACTCTATACTAAGAGATCTGACATCTGACCCTTGCATTATGCACCATAAGTGTGATCCCACTATTTATTCTCTGTCAATTAAGAAAATAGTTTTAAGATTCCTTACAGAACTGATCTAAAATTATGGACAATTTAAGTGAATATTTCTGAACATCAGTTGGGTGTGTGGTCATTTATCAGGCCATGTTACAGTTATACCATTTAGTGGGAAATTTTTGTTTAAGTTCTAATTTTTCCTGCAGTATCTATAAGATGCAGCAGATAATATTTAATATTGCACAATTTTTTCAATGTATTCAACAGGTAATCTTTGTTGAGACTTAAGGTTTGAGAGTAAATATAATTATTGTATATAATTCTATACTCTTTGGCCAGTCTCTTAATCTCATTTAACAGAACAGTTTAATAAAACAATTATGTTTCATTTAAAAAAAAACAAACCTTAGCATAAGCTACAATCCATTCCTGTGCTTGATAAATTCCTGTATGCTTCTTCATTAAAAGTTAAAAGTTTCAGCATTTATTTTAGATCATTTTGTTCTAATGTGGTAGTTTTATATGTAATTTATTTTTACTACATTTTTTCAAGGAAATAGCTAGAATAAATATTAAAAACTGTTTTACTCATGTAATTTGCAGAATTTCTTTGGCCCTGAGTTTGTGAAAATGACGATTGAACCATTTATATCTTTGGATTTGCCACGGTCTATCCTTGTAAGTAATAAAACCAATTCATGTCACTCCTAAAAAATAATTTCATAGTTTTGTTTTTAAAAATGAGTTAAAATTCTTATAATACTTATTTAATAAATGCCATTTTGTTTTAATTGCAGACCAAGAAAGGAAAGAGTGAGGATAACCGAAGGAAAGTAAATGTAATACTTCTGAGTGGGCAGAGACTGGAATTGACCTGTGATACCAAAACTATATGTAAAGATGTATTTGATATGGTCGTGGCCCATATCGGCTTAGTGGAGCATCACTTGTTTGCATTAGCCACCCTCAAAGGTACCAAGACATTTTAAATTCAGAGTAGAACATGAAAACTTGCCAATAAGCAGACTTCCTATACCTGTTATTATACCAACCTCATTTTGGGAAATAGTAACTAAATGAAACTCCCTTCCTTCTCCTGCTATATACATTATTTTAGTAGCTGTGTTAGTTAAGTACCTTCTGTATCTGACTGTGAAGATATTTTTTTTTAGCTGTGGCTACATAAAAATAAATTTTAATCATTGTATTTTAGGAACCATTTTATGTTAGTTGCAAATTAGTACCTAATATGAGTCTTGATTAGTACCCTAATATGAGTCTTAATATTTAACAGGACCCTATTTCTGAATTTACTTATCAATTTTTTAGGCTACTATGCTAAAAAAGTGCCTTTTTTAAAATGATAGTTGATAACTGAAAATTAGTCATTTCATTTATCTTTTAAACATTGCATCCACTTAACTCCATGACATTCATAACAACACTATTCTCAGAGCACAATTTCAAGAGAAACCTCTCCTACTTACTATATAGAATTCCCATAATAATAGGAAACTCTTAGGAATTAATCTTCTTTCTTTAATAAATCATTCTATTTATAAATTACTGTTCAATATTTCATTTTCCTATTTACCTCAAAATTTAACTGGAAAAGCTTAGACAACTAAGCATCATAAATAACAATTGAAGAGTCAAATGATCCTGGAATGCTACAAGATCATGATAATTTTTTTATCATAAAAGAAATATTTCCTTCAACATAGCTTATTGAATTCATGTGCCTTACAAATGAATAATTCATTACGTAGAGTCATCTAATAAATATTCAATTAGTACCTACTGATGTTCTATCACTATTAATTTTACTTTTAGACTAATTAGGTCATACTATCTATATAAAGATATTCAATTAATCAGAATTTCTATTTATAAGACACCTGATTCTTAGACATTCTGGACAAAACAGATTTTATTGAATAATCCTTTTGTTTGGAGAGGCAATAACAGTTCAAAGATGACATTGAAACATAAAAATAAGATGATGGCTCTTTTTTTCATTCCTCCTATGCCAGCCGATAGATCAATAATAAAGATGCTAATATTTATTGAATGCTTACCATGTACTGTGCTTTGCCAAGTTTTGTATTCATTGTCATTTGATCCTTATAATATCCCCGTAAAGCAGGAACTATCACTATCCTGATCTTATAGACAAGAAAATTGATGTGTAGAGAAACAACATAATTTTTTCAGTGTCATTCAGTTAGTAAATGACATGGGCAGAAGTTGAATCCAGATCTCTCTGGTCCATTCTTAAAAGATTGAGTCATACTGCCTTCCCCTTGCCTAGATGCAGTCTTCAGAGCTTCCTTCTATGCTTCTCAACAGTTTTGTTTTTTTCTTGTATGATAATATTTTGTGCAAGTCTGACCCAAAGTGAAGAAATCAGAAGAAAACATTAAAGGATTTCATATTTTACCTTAATGTTTTTCTCATTCTGTTTCAGATAATGAATATTTCTTTGTTGAACCTGATTTAAAATTAACCAAAGTAGCCCCAGAGGGATGGAAAGAAGAACAAAAGAAAAAGAGCAAAGCCACTGTTAATTTTACTTTGTTTTTCCGAATTAAATTTTTCATGGATGATATTAGTCTAATACAGTGAGTGCACAAGATTTTCTTTTTTGCTCTTTTGACCACTGATCTTTGGATCCTTTAGCTTATTTTTACTGAAGTATTTGATTCTGGTCAATGATAATGTTTTCTTTATCATAAAAGAATTATTTATTTCAACATAATTTGTTTAATCTTTACACCTTAAAAGCTTAATAACAAGCTTAATAATAAGTCTTCCTGGAAACTAAATACATATGTCTATAATAAAAATTACCCTATAATATTCAAAACCAAAAGCTTAGATGTTTGTGTGTATATTTCTTTTTTCAGACATACTCTTACCTGTCACCAGTATTATCTTCAGCTGCGAAAAGATATTTTGGAGGAGAGGATGCACTGTGATGATGAGACTTCCTTATTGCTGGCATC